AGCACTATAGTGGTCCTTTAAAGGACCACTACAGACACCCAGATCACATCAGCTCAATGAAGTTGTCTGGGTGTCAGGTCCCTCTAGTTTTAACCCTTCAGCTGAAAACATAGCAGTTTCAGAGAAACTGCTATGTTTCACTGAGGGTTAATCCAGCCTCTAGTGGCTGTCTCACTGACAGCCGCTAGAGGAGCACATTGAACGTCCATAGGAAAGCATTGAGTAATGCTTTCCTATGGGCGGTTTGAATGCGTGCGCGGTCGCATTCGGAGCTGAGAGGCGGAGGGATCCCCAGCGCCAAGGGAGTCCGGCGCTGGAGAAAGGTAAGTGCTGAAGACACACACACTTACAGACGCATACACACTAGCTAACAGACACACACATTTACTGACAGAGACACAGTCATCGACAGACATACACACTCACTTACAAAACATACACTCTCATTGACAAACACACACTCACTAACAGACATCAAACAGACTCACTAACACACACTCAGTAAGACACACCCAGTAACACACACTGACACTCACTAGCAGACACACACACACTAACACTCACACTAACACTAACTAGAAGACACACACACTAACACTCACACTAACACTCACTAGCAGACACTCACACTAACACTCACACTCACTAGCAGATACACACACACTAACACTCACACTAACTAGCAGACACACACACTAACACTCACACTAACACTAACTAGCAGACACACACACTAACACTCACACTAACACTCACTAGCAGACACACACACTAACACTCACACTCACTAGCAGACACACACACACTAACACTCACACTAACACTAACTAGCAGACACACACACTAACACTCACACTAACACTCACTAGCAGACACACACACTAACACTCACTAGCAGACACACACACACTAACACTCACATCACACACTCACTAGCAGACACACACACTAACACTCACTAGCAGACACACACACACTAACACTCACACTAACACTAACTAGAAGACACACACACTAACACTCACACTAACACTCACTAGCAGACACTCACACTAACACTCACACTCACTAGCAGATACACACACACTAACACTCACACTAACTAGCAGACACACACACTAACACTCACACTCACACTAACTAGCAGACACACACACTAACACTCACACTAACACTCACTAGCAGACACACACACTAACACTCACTAGCAGACACACACACACTAACACTCACACTAACACTCACTAGCAGACACACACACTCAACACTCACACTAACACCAACTAGCAGACACACACACCAACACCACACTAACACCCACAGACACACACACTAACACTCACTAGCAGACACACACACACTAACACTCACACTAACTAGCAGACACACACACTAACACTCACACTAACACTAACTAGCAGACACACACACTAACACTCACACTAACACTCACTAGCAGACACACACACTAACACTCACACTAACACTAACTAGCAGACACACACACTAACACTCACACTAACACTCACTAGCAGACACACACACTAACACTCACACTAACACTAACTAGCAGACACACACACTAACACTCACACTAACACTCACTAGCAGACACACACTAACACAGCCTCCTTACCTCTTGGAGTGCTGGGGGGGATTATTCCCTGGGGTCCAGTGGTGCTGCTGGGCGGGTGGCCGGTCGGGCAGGCGGGCGCGCGAGGGAGCACTCATTGCTTCCTCTTCAGCTCCCTCGCGCACCGCGTAGGGATGCCGGCGCCGGAAGATGACGTCATCTTCCGGCTCCGGTATCAGTGCGGCGCGCGAGGGAGCTGAAGAGGAAGCACTGAGTGCTCCCTCGCTTCGCTCGCCCACTGGCCACCTGCCTAGTCAGCAGGGTCAGCCTCGGGGGGCCCTGGGGTGGTCGGCTCCTGGGCCCCCCAGGGGAAGAGGCTGGCCCTGTGGCTACATACCGGGTCGCAGGGGCGGCCGGGCCCCCTGGTGGGCCGGGCCCGGTCGCAGCCGCGACCCCTGCGACCCTGGTATGTACGCCACTGGCAATAAGGTTACAAGGCATGACACTCCCACACACAGCACACAATTCCTACCCTCTGCTTGGGAGATAATTGGATCAGTAACTGTACTAATTCTAATCCAATCCAAGCACAGAAAAAACACACTATTTTAAAACACCCCAAAAGTACCCTAAAAATACATAAACCCCACAAATGTTACATCCCCTGATAGCCCTGATCCGGGTGACCAACATATCCAAAAATCACCAGATCAGTTCAGGGGTTTAGGAATTTCCTGGAAGTCTTATTTTTGGCCGACCTTGCACATGGTCCCAAGCGCAAAACAGTTCCAGAGAATTATTGCTAACGGTCGGTCTCTCTCTCTGGAGTACAAAAGTACATACGTCACATGAACAGAGCCTTTTAAGGAACTTTAGCCAGGTCTATTGCAGGGGCCATAGTCACAGGATAAGAGGCTGGCCAGTGACGAGGTTCAGTTCGTCACAAGGAGCTTCAGTTAGGGTAGTGGGTTTCCTGCCTCTTACCCACTCCTGTATGTCACCATATAATGCTCTGTAAGTTGGGATGCCCCCATATAATGCTCTGTAAGGTGGGATACCCCCATAGAATGCTCTGTAGGGTGAGATACCCCCATATAATGCTCTGTAGAGAGGGATACCCCCATATAATGCTGTGTAAGGAGGTATACCCCCATATTATGCTCTGTAAGGTGGGATACCTCCATATAATGCTCTGTAATGTGAGATACCCCCATATAATGCTCTGTAAGGTGGGATACCCCCATATAAAGCTCTGTAAGGTGAAATACCCCATATAATGCTCTGTAAGTTGAGATAACCCCATATAATGCTGTGTAAAGAGGTATACCCCCATATAATGCTATGTAAGGTGAAATACTCCCATATAACGCTCTGTAAGGTGGGATACTCCCATATAATGCTCTGTAAGGTGAGATAACCCCATATAATGCTCTGTAGGGAGGTATACCCCCATATAATGCTCTGTAAGGTGAGATATCCCCATATAATGCTCTGTAAGGAGGGATACCCCCATATAATGCTCTGTAAGGAGGTATACCCCCATATAATGCTCTGTAAGGTGAGATATCCCCATATAATGCTCTGTAAGGTGGGATACCCCCATATAATGCTCTGTAAGGTGGGATACCCCCATATAATGCTCTGTAAGGTGGGATACCCCATATAATGCTCTGTAAGGTGGGATACCCCATATAATGCTCTGTAAGGTGGGATACCCCCATATAATGCTCTGTAGGGAGGTATACCCCCATATAATGCTCTGTAAGGTGAGATATCCCCATATAATGCTCTGTAAGGAGGGATACCCCCATATAATGCTCTGTAAGGAGGTATACCCCCATATAATGCTCTGTAAGGTGGGATACCCCCATATAATGCTCTGTAAGGTGAGCTACCCCCATATAATGCTCTGTAGGGAGGGATACCCCCCCTATAATGCTTTGTAAGGTGAGATACCCCCATATAATGCTCTGTAAGGTGGGATACGCCCATATAATGCTATGTAAGGTGGGATACCCCCATATAATGCTATGTAAGGTGAAATACTCCCATATAATGCTCTGTAAGGTGAGATAACCCCATATAATGCTCTGTAGGGAGGTATACCCCAATATAATGCTCTGTAAGGTGAGATACCCCCATATAATGCTCTGTAAGGTGGGATACGCCCATATAATGTTATGTAAGGTGGGATACCCCCATATAATGCTATGTAAAGTGAAATACTCACATATAATGCTCTGTAAGGTGGGATACTCCAATATAATGCTCTGTAAGCTGGGATACCCCCATATAATGCTCTGTAAGGTGGCAAAAACCCCATATAATGCTCTGTAAGCTGGGATACCCCCATATAATGCTCTGTAAGGTGGCAAAAACCCCATATAATGCTCTGTAAGGTGGGATACCCACATATAATGCTCTGTAAGCTGGGATACCCACGTATAATGCTCTGTAAGGTGAGATACCCCCATATAATGCTCTGTAAGGTGGGATACCCCCATATAAAGCTCTGTAAGGTGAAATACCCCATATAATGCTCTGTAAGGTGGGATACCCCCATATAAAGCTCTGTAAGGTGAAATACCCCATATAATGCTCTGTAAGGTGGGATACCCCCCTATAATGCTTTGTAAGGTGAGATACCCCCATATAATGCTCTGTAAGGTGGGATACCCCCATATAAAGCTCTGTAAGGTGAAATACCCCATATAATGCTCTGTAAGGTGGGATACCCCCATATAAAGCTCTGTAAGGTGAAATACCCCATATAATGCTCTGTAAGCAAGTAGAACTAATTCTATATAACGCTTCTGTAAGGTGGAATTCTATATAATGCTCTGTAAGGTGAGATAACCCCATATAATGCTCTGTAGGGAGGTATACCCCCATATAATGCTCTTGTATAGATTCCCACTCATGAGCATTATATATAAGCCACGCCTATATAATGTTATGGAAGGTGGGATACCTCTATATAATGCTATGTAAAGTGAAATACTCCCATATAATGCTCTGTAAGGTGGGATACTCCCATATAATGTTTCTGTAAGCTGGGATACCCCCATATAATGCTCTGTAAGGTAAGTAAAACACCATATATCGCTCTGTAAGGTGGGATAATCTACATATAATGCTCTGTAAGCTGGGATACCCACATATAATGCTCTGTAAGGTGAGATACCCCCATATAATGCTCTGTAAGGTGGGATACCCCCATAAAAAGCTCTGTAAGGTGAAATACCCCATATAATGCTCTCTAAGGTGGGATACCCCATATAATGCTCTGTAAGGTGGGATACCCCCATATAAAGCTCTGTAAGGTGAAATACTGCATATAATGCTCTGTAAGGTGGAAAAAACCCCATATAATGCTCTGTAAGGTGGGATACCCCCATATAATGCTCTGTAAGGTGGTATACCCCCATATGATGCTCTGTAAGGTGAGATACCCCCATATAATGCTCTGTAAGGAGGGATACCTCCATATAATGCTCTGTAAGGTGAGCTACCCCCATATAATGCTCTGTAGGGAGGGATACCCCCTATAATGCTTTGTAAGGTGAGATACCCCCATATAATGCTCTGTAAGGTGGGATACGCCCATATAATGCTATGTAAGGTGGGATACCCCCATATAATGCTATGTAAGGTGAAATACTCCCATAAAACGCTCTGTAAGGTGGGATACGCCATATAATGTTATCTAAGGTGAGCTACCCCCATATAATGCTCTGTAGGGAGGGATACCCCCCTATAATGCTTTGTAAGGTGAGATACCCCCATATAATGCTCTGTAAGGTGAGATACCCCCATATAAAGCTCTGTAAGGTGAAATACCCCATATAATGCTCTGTAAGGTGGGATACGCCCATATAATGCTATGTAAGGTGGGATACCCCCATATAATGCTATGTAAGGTGAACTACTCCCATATAACGCTCTGTAAGGTGGAATACTCCCATATAATGCTCTGTAAGGTGAGATAACCCCATATAATGCTATGTAAGGTGGGATACCCCCATATAATGCTATGTAAGGTGAAATACTCCCATATAACGCTCTGTAAGGTGGGATACTCCCATATAATGCTCTGTAAGGTGAGATAACCCCATATAATGCTCTGTAGGGAGGTATACCCCCATATAATGCTATGTAAGGTGAGATATCCCCATATAATGCTCTGTAAGGTGGGATACGCCCATATAATGCTCTGTAAGGTGGGATACCCCCATATAATGCTCTGTAAGGTGAGATACCTCCATATAATGCTCTGTAAGGTGAGATACCCCCATATAATGCTCTGTAAGGTGGGATACCCCCGTATAATGCTCTGTAAGGTGAGATACCTCCATATAATGCTCTGTAAGGTGGGATACCCCCATATAATGCTCTCTAAGGTGGGATACCCCATATAATGCTCTGTAAGGTGGGATACCCCCATATAATGCTCTGTAAGGTGAGATACCTCCATATAATGCTCTGTAAGGTGGGATACCCCATATAATGCTCTGTAAGGAGGGATACCCCCATATAATGCTCTGTAAGGTGGGATACCCCCATATAATGCTCTGTAAGGTGAGATACCCCCATATAATGCTCTGTAAGGTGGGATACCCCCATATAAAGCTCTGTAAGGTGAGATAGCTCCATATAATGCTCTGTAAGGAGGTATACCCCATATAATGCTCTGTAAGGTGAGATAGCCCCATATAATGCTCTGTAAGGTGGGATACCCCCATATAATGCTCTGTAAGGTGGGATACCCCCATATAATGCTCTGTAAGGTGAGATACCTCCATATAATGGTCTGTAAGGTGGGATACCCCCATATATTTCTCTGTAAGGTGGGATACCCCCATATAATGCTCTGTAAGGTGAGATACCCCCATATAATACTCTGTAAGGTGAGATAGCTCCATATAATGCTCTGTAAGGAGGTATACCCCATATAATGCTCTGTAAGGTGGGATACCTCCATATAATGCTCTGTAAGGTGGGATACCCACATATAATGCTCTGTAAGGTGGAATACTCCATATAATGCTCTGTAAGGAGGGATACCCCATATAATGCTCTGTAAGGTGGGATACCTCCATATAATGCTCTGTAAGGTGGGATACCCACATATAATGCTCTGTAAGGTGGGATAACCACATATAATGCTCTGTAAGGTGGGATACCCACATATAATGCTCTGTAAGGTGGGATACCCCCATATAATGCTCTGTAAGGTGGGATACCTCCATATAATGCTCTGTAAGGTGGGATACCTCCATATAATGCTCTGTAAGGTGGGATACCTCCATATAATGCTCTGTAAGGTGGGATACCCACATATAATGCTCTGTAAGGTGGGATACCCACATATAATGCTCTGTAAGGTGGGATACCCCCATATAATGCTCTGTAAGGTTAGGTACCCCCATATAATGCTCTGTAAGGAGGTATACCCCATATAATGCTCTGTAAGGTGGGATACCCCCATATAATGCTCTGTAAGGTTAGGTACCCCCATATAATGCTCTGTAAGGTGGGATACCTCCATATAATGCTCTGTAAGGTGAGATACCCCCATATATTGCTCTGTAAGGTGAGATACCCCCGATATAATGCTCTCTAGGGTGGGGAACCTTTTTCCTCGGAACGGAAGTGCAGGGGGAGGTTTCCTGCCGGACTCTTATTAAAGATCACCGGCCGGACGTGTCGTCAGTAGCGGTTCTGTTCGCTGATTGGCTGACTCTCAGGCGGAAGAGAAACCTTTTCCGGCAGATTCCGGCTGTGAGCACTGAGCAGCACGATGGCGACTGATTCCTGGGCCCTGGCTGTGGACGAACAAGAGGCGGCGGCAGAGACAGTGAGACATGGTGGACCACCAGGGGGAAGGGGGGAGAGAGGGATGGGGGGGACCACCAGGGGGAAGGGGGGGAGAGAGGGATGGGGAATGCCCCAGGGGAAGGGGAGAGGATGGGGGGACCACCAGGGAAGGGGGGAGAAAGAGGGATGGGGGGGACCCACCAGGGGAAGGGGGAGAGAGGGATGGGGGACCACCAGGGGGGAAGGGGGGAGAGAGTGATGGGGGGACCACCAGGGGAAGGGGGGGAGAGCATGGGGACCACCAGGGGAAGGGGAGAGTGATGGGGACCTACCAGGGGAAGGGGGAGAGAGGGATGGGGGGACCACCAGGGGGAAGGGGAGAGGGATGGGGGGACCACCAGGGGAGAGAGGGATGGGGACCACCAGGGGGAAGGGGGAGAGGGATGGGGGGACCACCAGGGGGGAGAGAGGGATGGGGGGGACTACCAGGGGAAGGGGAGAGAGGATGGGGATTCACTGGGAGAGAGTGATGGGGAAAACGTTTGGTTCTCCCCCTTATTTGGAGTTATTCCATAAAATGTAAAATCTACGCTTCGTTTCCACGCCTACAGTTTTCCACACACTGTTGTTTATTCATTCAGAGAAAAAGCTCCTAACGCGGCCTGAAACATTGATTTTAGATTTTATGGAATAACTCCAAATAAAGTTGTAGGAAAAAAAAACAAAAAAAAAAAAACACACAAGACTTTGAGTGCTAGCCCAATTTTTACTTTGTGTGTGTGTATGTGTATATATATGTATGTATGTATGTATGTATGTGTGTATATATATATATATATATACATACACACACACACACACTCTCACGGTCTTTTGGTTTCTTTAAAACGATTTTCCTTTTATTTCATTGCTTAAAACTTGATCGACATTTCAGCCACAATACATGGCTTTCATCAGGATCTTTACAGCTCAAAGAAGCTGTAAAGATCCTGATGAAAGCCATGTATTGTGGCTGAAATGTCGATCAAGTTTTAAGCAATGAAATAAAAGGAAAATCGTTTTAAAGAAACCAAAAGACCGTGAGTGCTTGCCTCTTGTTCCCTATATTTGTGTATATTATGGCATTGGCTTGACAGCACCAGGCAGAAATCCACATTGAAGTGTGTGTGCAAGGAGACAGTAGGTGTGTGTGTGTGTGTGTGTATGTATATGTGTATATATATATGTATATGTGTGTGTGTATATATTACACTCTCTCATGCAATGCTAAGATAAATCTATAGCATGCTTTTATCAATAACCATGGAATAAGGAAACATCTCTAATAGAAAATGCTGCTGTAACTATCCTAGTCTAACTACAATAAATCATTCCCATCCATCATTGTTCAAGTAATAACATTAATTTAGCTGTGTACCTGTCTTGCCCAACACACCTTTTTAAAGAGCTGGCAATGAAACCTCTGCTATAGACTTTATTTCATAGATGCCTATTAAAATAAAAAAAACTTGTAGTAAAAGTGAATTGCTGATCTGGATCTTGGATGAGGTGGCTCAGAGAGAGGGAGGAGAAGGGGCTGGTGACAAATGTAAGGATACAGAGAGGTTTGGCAAACAAAAAATGCCTTGCTTTACTTTGGAAACGAGGATCTTCTAATGGTATCAAAGCAGTTGAACCTGACTCTCTGTTTAAAAATGTTATTGTTCAGTCGTGTCCGACTCTCCGTTACCATAGGGACCACACATGCCAGGTGCCTCTGAGCTCCAACAACTTCATGTTCGTGGCTTCAGTGACCTAATCTCTCCGTCTCTGTCGTCCCCTTCTTCGTGTGCCTTCAATCTTTCCCAGCATCAGTCTTCTTTAGAGAATCCTGCCTTCTCATTATATGGCCAAAATATTTGAGCTTCGTGACCATAGCTTCCAGTGATTTCCTGTAGTACGGATTTATTGGATCTTCTTGCAATCCAATGGATTCTAAGCAGTTTTCACAAACACCGTTCAAAGGCATCAGTTCTAGGACGCTCAGCCTTCTTTATAGTCCAGCTCTCACATCCATATGTTACTACTGGGAATACCATAGTTCTGACTATGCGGACCTTTGATAGTCTAATATCTTTAGTTTTTACCAGCTTGCCATAGCTTTCCTCCCCAGAAGCAAACCCCTTTTAATTTAATGACTGCAGTCACCATCTGAAGAGATCTTTGATCCCAGGAAAATAAAATCTGTCACTGCCTCCACTTCTTCCCCATCTGTTTTCTATGATCTTAGTCATTTTAAAGGAACACTATAGTCACCTAAATTACTTTAGCTAAATAAAGCAGTTTTAGTGTATAGATCATTCCCCTGCAATTTCACTGCTCAATTCACTGTCATTTAGGAGTTAAATCACTTGTTTCTGTTTATGCAGCCCTAGCCACACCTCCCCTGGCTATGATTGACAGAGCCTGCATGAAAAAAAAAAAACTGGTTTCCCTTTCAAACAGATGTAATTTACCTTAAATAATTGTATCTCAATCTCTAAATTGAACTTTAATCACATACAGGAGGCTCTTGCAGGGTCTAGCAAGCTATTAACATAGCAGGGGATAATAAAATCTTAATTAAATAGAACTTGCAATAAAGAAAGCCTAAATAGGGCTCTCTTTACAGGAAGTGTTTATGGAAGGCTGTGCAAGTCACATGCAGGGAGGTGTGACTAGGGTTCATAAACAAAGGGATTTAACTCCTAAATGGCAGAGGATTGAGCAGTGAGGCTGCAGGGGCATGTTCTATACACTAAAACTGCTTCATTAAGCTAAAGTTGTTCAGGTGACTATAGTGTCCCTTTAATTTGCTTTTTTGCTTTCCTGAGCTAAGCCCTGCAGTGTGGGCTCGTTAATTGGCTGAGAACATCAACTGGGTCGCGGGGGGTGGGTTTAAACCATGCCAGCCATAATATCTGAACTTATTTTGATTCTTTACAGTTGTATCTTTGAGTAATTTTCATGGTTATAGTGGAACTGTATGTCTTGAAGACTGTTTATTTTCATTTCTACAAATCTAATATTCTTTTTATTGAATTTACTGAGCTAAGTAGTATGGTATCTTTGTTTTATGCATATCACGTACAAATAAGTGATTTTTGTTCCTCCATGTAGCTCAACAAGTTGGTCCTGAAAGAAGATGATGAACCTCCTAAGTCAGAAAGTAACAGTGAGTATAACTTAAAGCAACTACTAAACCTTCTTTGACTGATAATGTACTAACGATAGACCAGGTGTTTCCTGCCATTGGTCAACAAAGCATTGTGGATGGACGATAGTAGTTACAGGCAAGATTGGACACTGTTCTTCTATAGCAGGGGTGATATCACCGTCACGGATACCCCTTTTCCAAGAGAAACTACAAATAATTCCCACTGGCAAAATATCACTGGCATAGAATAACACACACTCACACTCTCACACTACAGAAAAATGCACAATTTTGCAACACCCCAAAATACAGGGAAACCCCACAAAAGTCACATCCCTGGATCTGGGCGAACAATTGTATCCAAAAATCACCCAGATCCATTCGGTAGTTTTGGATCGCCATCGTGGGGAAGTTCTGACCGGTCTGCCACGAGGAGTAAGCCCAAAATAGTTCCATGTAAATTGTGGCAAGAGCCGGTCTCCGTTCGTGGGGTTTTGTATGAAAACCACCTAAGAGAGAGGAAAACTGGTTCATGTAGAATGCTCCCCATGTTTGGTAGTCTGTAACTCCTGGATGCCGTTTGTATAGGTGAACTGGAACAGGACGTAAGTCCATGGTGACCAGTGTTCGCGAGAGTAACTGGCCAAAATTAGTTCCAGGCACTCTACGACCAAGTACCGCTGCCAGAGTTTGGGAGACAAGATGGCCACCATCCATTGTTTCAGCCATGTGCGTTCTCATGTACGAAATGGCAGTCACCTAGTGGAGCATTCTATTAATGATTTCCTTTGCAGTTTTCGTACAGATACATAATGTTCTAATTGGTTTCTGGGGTGGTCTGGGTACGGGAACCAAACAAAATGAATGTAGACACGAACAAAATAAACGAAAGAGCCTTAAGTGATAGGGATATTCATTCACAAGGGTCACACGGATATTTATAACATGTGGACCATTCAAAATTAGTCTGCTGTAATTGAGTCAAACGTTTAACTCCCCACTAATGTGATGGCTGGAACTACTTGCCTTTGGTGAGGTGTATGTGTGTGTGTGTGTGATGTTGGCTGGTCCTGATAATGTTGCTACTCGCAACAGCTTTTCCAGGTTTGCGTCACTCAGACTGGAGCGCAGTTAACACTTTGCGATGTTCACTACAGTCACGCTTACTCTGTTGTGTGTGTCGCTCAGTAAATGTAGCGGAATAGAGGACCTAACTTCACTTTTATTCCGTTTGTTCAGCTGTCCGTACCCCCCCTCGTTCGTTTACTGAACCAACTTTGTGGGTTCCCTGTGCCAGAAATGCCACTGCCACGTGTTCCTGGAGGGGCCTGCTAGCTAGCCTCCTGCCCAAAGACCATGGGCCCTGCAAAAAACAATGTTAAAAGACTTTCTTTGTGCCATTTCGCTAAACTGCTCGGGAACCGAACAGACGCCTGAACCTAGGACCACCCATGTTCTTGTTAAGCCATATTGACACCTGGTGACGATTCTTATCTGGGTGGCTGCAATTCATATGAACGACCATGAGGTGAGGGCCATCTTGTTCGTATGAACACAGGCAGCGGTGTTTTGGGAGTCTGTGTCTGATTTTTAGTTCCATGACCAAACACCACTGGACTTCCATCATCGCCTGCGTTCAGTTCTGTATATCGTAGATCAACACTTCGGTAGAATCATTTGTCTGGATGAGGGGAACAAGCTCCATGTTCGGAAATTTTTTTTTTTATTTTTTATTTTTTTTTTTTGGTGCTACCAAAGTTGACCGACGGTTACCACTTTTCTCATGGAGCTATTTTGGGCAGAAGCCATGTTTGCGTTCAGTCAAAACGTGACTTCCGTGGAAAACCTGAACCGATCTGGGTGATTTTTGGATATGTTGGTCACACAGATTAGGGCTATCCGGAGATGTATTTGAGGGGTACTTTTGGGGTGATTGTGTTTTCTGTACTTGGACATAATTGGGTTAGTACAGTTCCTGACTCCATTATCTCTCCGGCACAGGAAAGGGATTAACCTGTGATTTTGTGTAAGAAACCCCTTGCATGGGCTTGTGGGGGGTTTAATGATTAATCTGTGGGTAGGTATTAATGGTTCTTTTGGGTATGATACTGGAACACAAGGCTACTGGCCATTAATATATCAAGGGACCCCCTATCCAAGAGGGAATCTATGCATATGGCAAGCTAGAGAGTTGGCTTTTATTTAAACCAGACATCCAGGCCACTTATGTGTGACTTCTCACTCCTTACAGAGCAGCACTGTTGGAGTCCTAGCTTCAAAGAGGAATTAAGGCTATAAACCTTCTGACCTCCCATGCAAACAAATTGGCCCATTTTGAAAATGTATTTTTGTATTAGTTTGTTTGTTTGTTTTTTTTTTTTTAAGAATATATATTTTTCTGTAGAGGATCCTGGGAGGAAAAGCCCTGTATTATTGTATGGGATACCCCATGTAGGGGTCTGTGCATAAAAGCAGTGTGTGGCCAAAATAAAATGAGATGACTCCCAGAACTGTGTCGTCCAGTTACTGGGGGAAAGTGTCTTGGGATATTTTGCGGTATGTTTCAGCTACGAAGACTAAACAGCAGAAATACATATGCTTGGTATTAGAGCTCCGCCAAAGTAAGCCTACCTGGAACTGAATGCTGTGGGAGCTGGAGGTAAAATTCCCACTTTCCATCACCTTCCTGTTGTCAAGGTCAGCTGCTTGAGTGCAGGGTAAAGGGGGAACAGAAAGCTCCCTCCCTTACACTGCTCCCACTGCCAGCTGTATTGCGTCTGCACCAGCCCATAGCACGTCCCTCCTTAATCCCTCGGACTCTCTCTCAGTGCGAGTGGGAAAATAATTTAAATGTCGTTAGGGCTATTGCCTTGGCAGGGTCTGACCTTATACGACCTGACGTTACCTACCCCTGTTATATAGAAACACCTGGCTCGTCTCCTTCACTCTGCTTATAGAGCTGCAGGTGACTTACTGTTAGCAGATTTCTGAATCTCCTGTGTGAAGTTGGATGGTGATCACTATCATCTGGAATATTGGATATAGCTGTCATTAGTCTAGTACAGTCATAGCTGCTTTAATTATCCCATGAATCCTTCTAGGTTTGAATGGAGCAGGTGATGCTGGAAACACTGAAAAGACTAATGGTGACAGTGATGAAAAGACAGAAGATGATGACAAAGGTGAGGTGATTTAACAGTGTGTACACTACATATACTTCTCAGTGTTCAGTTTTCTAAAAAGAAACTCGTTATTCGGAAGCCAGGTATGGGGGTGGGGGCGAATCGGCACTAGTATTCAATGGGTAGACCGACAACAAATGATTATTTAATGTAAAAAGAAAAAAAAAAAGAGATGTGAATTGCCATCTGGATACAAGGTTTCTATTGTTGGTGCCTCCGCCAGTATAACTTGCTGGATAATGAAAGACCCATGAAATTCAATGTAATTGGCTTCTTCCTGTGCTATAAGTCTGCTTGTTACAATTGCAGCATTTTGCTGCATGATTACAGGTGTTTGCAATTATCTCTATTAAAGTGAATTCTTTAAAAAGAGGACTGCACAAGTCACCCACCTCATGCTCTGCTACTAGAGTATTTATTTTGATCCACTTTGGAACTTTATAAGTTTATTCAGGATGATCTCATATCTGACTGTTTACAGAGGACAAAGCTGCACAGTCGCTGCTCAACAAGCTTATTCGGAATAATCTGGTGAACACAACGCACCAAGTAGAAGTATTGCAACGGGATCCAAACTCTCCCCTATACTCCGTCAAATCGTTTGAAGAGCTGAGATTGTAAGTAATGGCTTGCTGCTGCCAAGCACCCTTTGTGATGTGATTTATTTCCTGTAATACGATTCAGACAGTTATGGTGAAGGAATATAGAATTTCTGTTAAAAGGCAATGGCCTGCCATACAATCTCCTCCGATTTCTGGTTTATTTGTATTTGGCATTTTTGGGGGGAGGGGGTTGGTTTAAGTGTTGATATTCACAACTGTGCTCAGGCATTTGTGACAAATCTTCCTCTACCAGCACAGGGGAGGAATGTCTGATTTAATAAAGCCACTCCTGGTTGACCTGCTTGGCTCACTGTGTATTTACGAGGTGCCCTTCTAGCGAAGTAATGTGCAGGATGCTTCAACATCCAGGCACTAATTGAATTTCCCAGCCAAATCCCTCATCTGCGTCTCCAAGGCAACCAGATCCAATGAGGCATGGTTTTCTCTACAGGTTCGATGGGTTGCTTTCTGCATGAGAGACTTACACAGCGTTTCCCATTGGAGATTCCTACATTTAAATTTCTGCATTCAACAGAAGTCTTATTAAATATCAATTAGATTAACTTTCAATAAAATGAGTTTTTGATGGATTCTTGTTCTGAATTTGGGGTGCTTATTTTCTGATAGTCCATGCTGAGGTTTTGTCATAACCTGGGGGGGGGAGTGAGGGGCACGTGTAACTAAGTCACAGGGTCACTCTTCGGGTCTTAGTGTCTTTAAAAAAAAAAATTAGCTTTTTCAAAAAAAGAAAAGCAGCACACTACAGTGTGCTAGAAAGCCTTGCTAAAATGTTTCTCAAATGTTGTTACACATTCTAAAATGTGTATTTTTACTATGAAAAATAAAGCTGCATAATTCCCTCCATCCCTATATAATGCTGAGATTGTTTCATGCATAGTAATAGGTAGTGAAATAATACATCTGTGTTCTCTTTATTTGGTGTCAGTGTGTCTTTAAACGCATTGCTTCTACTTTACAGGATATGTTTGACACCTAAAAAATGCTCCCCCAAGCCAAGGGCCATTGGTTATAATGTTCATGGCTATGTGTCTTGTAACCATTGGCCCTATGCATTCCTTTATTGTAGTCTATTTCGAAGTTCCTGGTTTGCACAATTTACTAATTTGTGTTGGTGTGGCATAAGTCAGTCCATCCGTATGTTATGTCTAAGTACAAACTGAGCCCATTTAAGTAGTTTGAGAGTCTGAGCAGTGTGTGTCGAACTGTATTGAGTCTGTTTGACCAAAAAGCCCTAGCAACAGCGCAGATCCTAAAGCTACAGTGGGCCCCTGTCTGCCTGCTGTCTCAGGAGACCAATAAGTTTCATTTCAAATATGTTACTCTTACACTTTTTTTTTCTTCTGCAGGAAACCACAGCTTTTGCAAGGAGTTTACGCAATGGGATTCAACAGACCTTCCAAAATCCAGGAGAATGCACTGCCCATGATGCTGGCTGAGCCGTATGTTGATTTAATTGGGGGAGGGTTGTTGTTTTTATTTTGGTAGATGTTGGCTTGTGATGGATTCTTCTGTCTTCTCACACATTCCACCCACTCTCCTCCATGACTGTTACGTTTAGGTATCCTGTTTATTAGCGTCTCCGACATGGCATGTTGTGCTTTGAGGACGAGCCATGTGTTTTCGGGTTATACCTGTTGCTTAGCAACATTCCCAGAACCTTTTTTTTTTTTTATTTTTTTTTTTAATTATTATTATTAATAATTTTTTTTATTTTTTTTTTTTGCTGGCTCTATAAGCCTTGTCTGATTTAATTTGCTGATCCGCTCCCCTCCTGTTTTCAGGCCCCAGAATCTAATTGCTCAGTCCCAGTCTGGGACAGGTAAAACGGCTGCCTTCGTTCTCGCTATGCTCAGTAGAGTGAATCCTGCAAACACTTACCCGCAGGTAAGGAAGGGTTGTGTTTAGAAGTAAATACATTAACACGTTAGTTCAAGGACGCAGGCAATTGTCCAACTTCTGAACAAAAAAACCTAGAATTTGTGATCTGTTTTGTGCCACTGTAATATGTGCTTCAATACATGTTTTCTTTCCTAGTTTATTATATATAATTTTTTTCATAACTTGTCTATATATTCTCTTAAATTTGTACCTTTTACAAATTGAGTCCTGGTTGTTAAATGCCTCATATGTCTAGGATTTAAGCAATTTTTTTTTTCAGTTATAGTACAAATATTGCAAGGAGTGAACTATGGTATTAAAGTAAATTTATTTTTGCACTCACTAAATTTCCGTATGTCCCACTATTATAACGAACCATTGTTTTATATTTTGACACATAATGTCCGTTACGCACATGCCAATTTTCTTTTTTCATTATTTGACTTTACTGGGTCCATGCCACTTTGGGGGCAAAAAATAGCTGCCCCCAACTGCGCATTTCCCCCATCATGACATGCCATTAGAAAAAAACAACTTTGGCTGTTCCATATTGAGTCTCTTCACAGGCCATCACAAATGAAAAGGAATTTGGTGTGGTCTAACCAGCTCAAACAAGATTTTGCTCAAGTCTTCTAATCCCTGTGGAATAGATTGACACTTTATCAATCAACGTTATCCAAGCCTCCACTGTTTGTGTATGCTCTCTGTGATCATGGTGTATGTTTGTCAGAGAGATAATTAATCGTTAAAAGAATCTCTAGGCATACAGCATTTGTATACTTGATTTGTATTTGTTTCTATTTGGGGGGGGGTGGGGGTACTGAGGTTTTTTAGATATATTTAAAATTGTCTTTAACACACCTCTATGAATGTTTCTTCACGGTAGTGTTTGTGCCTCTCCCCTACCTACGAACTGGCCTTGCAGACCGGTAAGGTCATCGAGCAGATGGGGAAATACTATCCAGAGCTAAAACTGGCATATGCTGTGCGTGGGAACAAATGTGAGTATTGCAGTGTCCACCTGCATAGTACCAAACCATTCTGAGTAGCTCCCTAATGGTACTCCATATTCCATCCTTTGCAGTGGGTTGGTACCAAACCATTCTGAGTAACTCCATATTCCTTCCTTTACCGTGGGTTGGTACCAAACCATTCTGAGTAACTCCATATTCCTTCCTTTACTGTGGGTTAACAACAAACCATTCTGATAACTTTCCAATGGTACTCCATATTGCTTCCCTTATCGTGGGTTAGTACCAAGCCATATTGGGTAATGCTCCCTGTGGTGTACCATGTTCCTCTTACTGCCCTTGTATAAATGCTGGCACATATTGTATCACAATTTTCCAAAACAAAGGATTAGTTAAATTCAAGAACAACGTAATATCTTTACGCAGCAAATGTGAGACTGTTTGTTTGAAATGTTAAATAAAATTAATTTGTAGTCTGTATAAAATGTCTGAGGATGATATAATGTGAACATAGACTGGGCGAGTTCACAATTGCATACATTTTTTCCTATCGCATGCAAACCGATGCATGCAGAATATTTATATCTCTACATATAGGCAGAGAGAGAGAGATTGTAGCCGTATTAGTCCAGAGATGTAAAATAAGAGATCACATTAGTATCTTGTAATAAAGACAAAAAACAGTGAATGTAATAAACCATGCGTATTCCTCCATTAATTGGAGGCGATATACAAAAGGCATATACTTTCATAGTGTAATATAGTTGAGACAAGTATTGGTAATAATAGACAGTTGGCATCTCACACTTGGCAGAGCTACATATTGCAGGCTCTGGTTATAATGGCATTAGATGGTAGAAGTGCTCTTTGTCCACCTCTCTACCAAGAGGAATAATGTAGGGACTTGAATCAGGAATGGGGTAAAATAACTTTTTTAATATAAAATCTGTAGCACAAGCCATACACACAGACTAAAAGTCCAGATAACACTCAGCACAATACGTTTCGTTCTTCATGATCTTCATCAAGGTGCATAACCACCGCACAATATAGGGTCTAGGTCCGGAAATTGCATTTTACACCCGTTTCTCAGCATTCCCACCAAAAAAAGTGCTGTTTCATGTGACACTCTATGGTTGACCATGTCTTGTCTGACATGTCCTTATTATATATGCTCAGCATATCAAAAATAAAGAATTAAAAGTGTATATACATTTAACATAAGGATTTCATGGGCTTCATAGATTAAACAAGAAGAAAAAGATATATTTAAAAAACATTTTGATACAATAACAGCGTGTACACAAATAACATAACACTATATAGTTCCAATAAGAGAACTTTATATAACCAGTTTTTTTTGTTTAAAAAAAAAAAAAAAACCTGTGAATAAATGAGAGTAATTATTAGAAAAATAAAAATGGTAGGGAAGGAGATATAAGAAATAAAAGGTCACTTTTGAAAAAATGTATAAAAATCCCTAAATAGCAGGGACATGATCTGTACACCAAAACTGCTTCATCAAGACAATGTTTTGATCTGTTTAATGCCAGAATCTTGCGATTGACTGTGTATGCGGGTTTCTAGGATTGAGCTGCCAATACTAGATTGTATCCTTAACATGTCGACTTCAGCATAAACATCTCTGCCATCATGTTAATACTACGTATTAAAGATCTGTCTAACTCCATGCAATCTGTGGATTAAATCTTCTTAAAGTATTGCAGTGAATTTGCATCATTTTACGCTTTAAAGGACCACTCTAGGCACCCAGACCACTTCAGCTTAATGAAGTGGTCTGGGTGCCAGGTCCAGCTAGGGTTAACCCATTTTTTCATAAACATAGCAGTTTGAGAAACTGCTATGTTTATGAATGGGTTAAGCCTTCCCCTATTTCCTCTAGTGGCTGTCTCATTGACAGCCACTAGAGGCACTTGCGTGCTTCTCACTGTGATTTTCACAGTGAGAGCACGCCAGCGTCCATAGGAAAGCATTATGAATGCTTTCCTATGTGACCGGCTGAATGCGCGCGCAGCTAGCCCAGGAGGAGAAGGGTGGGGGCACCCTCAGGGCACTATAGTGCCAGGAAAACGAGTTTTTTTTTTTTTTTTTCCTGGCACTATAGTGGTCCTTTAAGCAAATGTACCATGGCTGTGTTTAATATTGTTCCTTGCTTGGGTTTTGAAGTAACTTGTGAGGTTTGACCAAAGTCCCTGCTCACAGATGCTATAAATCTCCTTTTTGATGTTTCCTCAGTGGAGCGCGGCCATAAGATCTCTGAGCAGATTGTCATTGGAACCCCAGGTACAGTCCTGGACTGGTGCTCCAAACTAAGGTTCATTGATCCCAAGAAGATCAAGGTGTTTGTGCTTGATGAAGCAGATGTGATGATTGCAACTCAAGGACATCAAGATCAGAGTATCCGAATCCAGAGGTGAGCGCCCACTTTCTTCTAATGACTGAAAGCCTATTTAATGGCAGATTTAGACCAGAGGGAGCTTGTCGTCTGACCGCTTTCCTTTTCACCACTTTTTAAAACCGTATACACCTCCTAGCCATTCCCAGGATACACCTATGCATATTCATTTTACAAGTGCCTGTAGTTTTTTCTTCTGTTTTTGTCTATCACAGACAACTGGCACCGTTTTCGATCATGGCGTGCCTTCTTTGTGCCCCTTATTGCAGTGTTGTTGACTCAATAATTTTATTTATTTTTTTTGGATAACTTTTATTTATTTTTCTTATACAGCCGTGTGTGTTGCGTGTTAACTCCTTTACCGGCCGTCTTGTCTAGAGGTGACACGAGCCATAGAATACCATTTACAAAAAGCACCACAAACCATTGCTTTCCTCTCTGATGCGTGGCCTGTTTGTGCAGACATGGGCCAGATGTGATGTCACCCCCAGAACATAGAAAGAAGGCAAAAGGGTTCTGTGACTAGTAACAGTTTGTGTACAACCTGAAATAGGACAAGTAGAACTTAAAGGAAAGCTATCGTGCTAGGAAAACCAATGTTCCCAGACGCTGGATCGGGTTCGCCTTTACTCCTCCAATAGGATTTCCCTATAGGAAAGCATTAATCAATGCTTTCCTATGGGGGTCCGGTGACACTGGAAGTCCTCATGCATAGCATGAGGACGTCCAGCGTCGTTTAGGCGACCAAAAGTTGCCTTGAAGCCCGGAAGTCCCTCTTGTGGCTCTCTGGTAGACAGACACTTGAGGAGGCATTAACACTAGCAGGTAATTATTGCAGTTTATAAAAACTGCAATAATTACATGCTAAGGGTGATGGGAGTTTGCACCCAGACCACTTTGATGTGCTGAAGTGGTCTGGGTGCCTACAGTGTCCCTTTAGCCCCTGGAGGGTATATTTAAAGCTAGTACTTGTGAGAAACCCAAGACCAGGCTACAAATTTCTATTTTGTATACAGTAAACTGGCTTAATCAATAAATTACTCATACTGCATGTAGCCATATAACCTCACCCAGGCATATTTTAGACATTTTGCTTGCTGTATGGGAATCTATGTTCTATTAATAAGACTAGTTCAATGCCACATGTCCTACATGAAAACTAAATGCACTTTCCACATTTTGCCCTGATTTTCTTTTTTTTTTTTTTTTTCTGGATTGTGTTATTTGCAGAATGTTGCCCCGTGACTGCCAGATGCTCCTGTTTTCTGCTACATTTGAAGAGTCTGTATGGAGATTTGCTCAGAAAGTCGTTCCTGAACCCAATATTATCAAATTGAAACGGGAAGAGGAGACCCTGGACACAATCAAACAGTATTACGTGCTCTGTAACAACCGGGAGGAGAAGTTTAAAGCTCTCTGCAATATTTATGGTTCCATAACCATCGCACAAGCTATGATCTTTTGCCATGTGAGTAGATGGCTTCAGAAAGACCTGCTTGTGCCATGTCCGAGTATTTGTGTTGGAAGTTCCAAAAGCTTAAGCCATCATCTTCTGTAAGCACAGACCTTCTCCTTTAACTATTGCTTTATTGTAGACTCGGAAGACTGCATCTTGGCTGGCTGGTGAATTGTCTAATGAAGGACATCAGGTGGCATTGCTCAGCGGGGAGATGGTGGTGGAGCAGCGAGCAGCTGTGATCGATCGCTTTAGAGAAGGCAAAGAAAAAGTTCTTGTTACAACTAATGTGTGTGCCCGAGGTGAGTGCTTTTTCTTTATTCCTCCAACTCCGATATCTTTAGAGGAGAAACTAACCTACCTTTACTAACAGAAATGTACCTCATGGAGGTTCATCAGCTGATTAGTAGTCAGTGTTTTTTTTTGTTTTTTTTTGGGTTTTTTTAGCATGAAGCTTCATGCATGTTTTGTGTTCTACAGAAAACTTGCATGAAGTTTTACTTCAAGCTAATAAAAGTTCTGCCACACATTTGATGTGCTTTTTTTAATTTTTTTTTCAGAGTATTACATGTTCGTTATTCTCTGTAAATCCCAAATCATAAAACCATTCCCTCTGTCTCCCCCCACAGGTATTGATGTGGAGCAAGTCTCTGTAGTGATAAACTTCGACCTTCCAGTGGACAAGGATGGAAACCCTGATAATGAGACATACCTTCACAGAATTGGTCGCACCGGACGATTTGGCAAGAGAGGGCTGGCTATCAACATGATTGACAGTAAACACAGCATGAATATTCTGCAACGAATCCAACAGCACTTTAGTATGTTCTCCCAATGCCTTATTATAATGTTCTGTAGAACCCATCTGTTTTATAGCTTAGTTACAAGCCATATTTTGACAAATGTACTTGTGTAGAATTGCAACCCGTTTCAAATTAATTTTTTGGGAGGGTTGCGGAGGGTTTAAACTAAAGTACTTCTAGTGCTTAGTGACACTTTAGGGGCCACTGGTTGCTGATGCCATCACAACATGGAATGTCCCACTCGATTGATTTCTGACTCTACAGCACTACCTGTGTTACATAAAAAGGACATTCTTTATCTGCATGGGGCCTTGTAGTTTCACAGTAATCTAGGTTGAAAAAAAGACTCCTCCATTGAGTTCATAATTACAAAAAAGTCATTTGAAATAAGAAGGCCAAACAAAAATAGTGAAGCGATGGACAACTATGCCATAAAAATGTAAAATATTCTATTTAACTGCGTAATACCAATCAGATTTCTCTTTGAGAGAGCAGCTAGCTCCTGCACATATTAAAAATATATTTGAAATGTCTGGTTTTCCCAAAAAAATGCCCATCCATCTGGTGGTGGTTATAGAGTTCATTGGTCCTTTATGGGATATGGTATATCCACCATTAGTGTGACCTTCAGTGGGTATGGCTTCCTTGTAATATTTCCATCTCACTTTGAAAGCTAGAGATGGTGGTAAGTGAACTAGGGGGAGAGTGTAGTTTGTATTAATTGCTCATCGGAATTAGTTGCCCTTTGATTTATTTGGCTGAAGCAGTTTTGTTATCCTTGTCTCACAATATCTTCTTTGCCTTCCAATTTGCTTTTGTTTTTAGATAAGAAAATTGAGAAACTTGACACGGACGACATTGATGAGCTTGAGAAAATTGCCAACTGAAACGACTCCCCTTTCTTTACTCTTGACCAGTATCTCCTTAGCGGTGGTCCTAATCATGTGGTCACACAGCGAAAAAAACAAGCCACAGAAATTGCCTCATTGTACCTGCCGTTACCTCCCAGTGTGGGGGAACAAGGTGAAGGTTTCAGAAGTGATGTTTTTAGAGTAGCCTTAATTGAAGTCTTTTTTTTTTAAAATCCCTGGACGTTCTGCCAGACTGTTTTGCTAGGGGCGCATTAAAACTTTTTTTTTTTTTTTTTTCTTCGAATAGTTGAGACAAACACTTTACCAGTAACGGGCCCTGCCGTTCAGAGGTTTGGAACCGTTTCAGTATCTCTGCTATAATTTATTGCAATCTCTGTATTCCATCACAAACGAGCTTAGTTAAGGATGTGAGCTTGGAATATTGCCCAAGTTTATGGGTGAAAAATTGATGCAAAGAGGGTGCTCCACACTAGAGATTTTTTTTTTTTGGGGGGGGAGGGGGGGGAGGAGAGAGGAGGAAGGAGCCCAACTTAATTTCTGTCGCTCTTATTACAGGGGTTTGCAGTGTGTTTACATTTCCCTTGTAAGACTGCAGGTATATCATTTTCATATTACAAAATCTCATGGTAGATTTTTACATTTATTTAAAAAAAAAAAAAAAATTCTTTTTCATAGTATTAAGCTACTTCTATTACACCAATTTGTTGCTCGAGACCTACCCCTTTTAAGACTTAATAGAACTTTCTTTACTAACATTTATATGTGATCTATCCAACACAAGGAATTTGATAAGTTAAAATATTTGCTATATGATTCTAGTAGTATTAGGAGGGTAAGCATTTTGCAGCCTTGCAATGCTTTAATAAGGCGAAATTAATTGAGCGACGCTGCTGAATGTGTACATTCACTTGGCGGCTTGCAGGATTTGTATATTCAGGAGGGAAACTGACTTCCAGTGGTCTCCAGGGTATTAAATCCTGTGTTTAGGGGTGTATCGGTGTTTGCTAGGGGCACTCTAGCTATAGTCCAGCATTGAGGGTCCGTAAAGTCCTACACACACGTCATTTACCTCAGTCTGCACAGCAAGCCTTCACAATGGTTGTATGTGTATTTTACATTTTAGCATATTGGTTTAAATCTGCTTCAGGACAGAAGCAACAATTCTTTTACCAAGTAAAAATAACAGATTGGTTTAACCTGTACCTAAAATTTTAGGAAGCATGAACACTTTTAATTAGCTTAGCAATTTAGGGAGGTTAGAAGTGTGTACAGGACAGGGGTGGCCTATAGGGATGGGTTGGGCTTCCCGCTGGTCATATGCTACATTTGCTTGATTTTTCTTTTGAATAAAGAATGTGCGTCACACACGCTCCAATCGTGGTCTGGGTGTTTCTGTGGGTGAGGGGTTCACTTGTTTTACATCTTACATCATGCCCTATATGTGTGATCATGGAGCGTAAAGGCAAACATTTGGTGTATTCTCATTTCCCCAATCGTGGGCCCCAATTGACAGAGGGAACCCCCAGGTATGGAGAGATACTTTGGTATCTAATCCCATGACTCAGTTGGCGTTAAAACCCTGTACTTCATTATGGCATAAATAGTAATGTGGTTAAAACACAGGTAATGTGGACACTGACCTATTGGTAGTCAGCATAGAGTTTGCGGTTAGTTATAAAAAGTCTAATTTTACCGTGCAGGGGTGATATCTGTGTTGTGAGTGCACTGGGCTGTAGATAAGCCACCTGCACAGATAAATGGTACTTGTTTTGCAAACTGTAATGCCAATTGTATATTTTGTGTGTGTGGGGAAAAAAACAACCTTTTCTACTGTCAAATCCAGTCTTCTAGGTCGAGGTATTCACGATCTCCATATGGAGACATCCTGGACTGATGATGTGCTAGCTCTAGACATATATTTCGTATTTACAATTTGGGGATATTAAACTCTGAATTAAGGAGAACTTATTAAACAAGTGCAACTTTAGGGTAAAATGGTGAGAATTAGTTCTCAAATAACCCGTTTTTAATAAATACAAATAAAATGCAGTTTTCAGTCAATTCTCTACTAAAGCCAGTTAATATGCTTTGTTACATTAGGGAGGGTTTGTAGGAGAAATATTAAAGGGTCACCCCTGTTGAAACTACCAGTAGCAGAAAACAAATCAATGCCAGGCTTGGACAACACACCGCAACCCTTCAAAAAGTACAGATATTAGCATGAAATATAGTGCAGTATACTCATGAAGCTGAAACCATCAGATGCATGTGAGCTGTGCCCAGAGAGTCCCTTTAACGGTGTGAAATGTGGTGTTTTGCAGCATCCCATCCTTATTAAGGCACAGTGCTAGGTTTGCAGCTGTTTTAGATGTGAACTTTTATTGTCAGTTATTAAACTAGATGCAAGACCACCTGTATCTACGCTACACGCGCTTTAGGTGCCGGTGGAGATATTTTGCATGTACCCCACCTTTCCGACTACCTACACCCACCCATTGCTATTAAAAGCATGTAGCTGGCCACCATTAAACTCTTAACCCTGTCCTCTCTTCCTGCCATCTACACATAAGTGCATTGTCGTTTATAGGTCTTCTCACAAGCATTTTTTATTTAAATCATATGGTTTGATGCTTCTAGAAGTGGGAGACGAAATTCTGCTGGGTTGTTTAAAGGATAAGAAACAAATCTGGAATGTAATGTGTGTTTTATTAAAAGAGTAAGTGCATTTTATTTATTATATTAAAAGACAGGAACAAACATGTAATCACTCCACGGCAAAGCTAAATGCTGAGGTTTTTTGTATGTATATACGGAAAGCGTTAATACCATCTGCATCCCCACTTTCTGTCTGAATAAATCTTCAGAATTCTCTTCCATGGGTGCATGACACGTCGGAAAAACGTGGCCTAGAAGGTATAGCCAAGGCATTGCACATGTCTGACTTCAATTTCTCAAGATTCCCAATCATGGGTGATGTAGTTCATACAGGTAGGTGACTTAACCTGCAGGCTTTTGCTAATTCAGCAGATTGCATTGAACTGGATTCCCTGCCCTTTAGTTGCTGAAATGTCTGTAAATTCACTATGAACGGAATGGTAACGAAACAGACAATGGTTCTCTATTTTTAAATTGATCTCATTATTGCAGTGAGATTCTTTTAAAAATAGCTCAATTGAGTTACAGACAAATTTTAACACTATAGTTTGTTTTATTTTTAAATGCATCCTCCAAACAAAGCATGTAGCTGGAGTCTGTCATTTTCCTGTCAATTATAAAAAAAAACGATTTCAAGAGAAATTGGCATTTTTCACTAAGACAGCCAGGGAAGTATTCTTTGGCTCCATAGCACTAATGGACACACTAAATTAGAGCGAGCAGGATTTCCCCTCTTCTCGATGAGCTGAATTCGTTTGAGATTATTGGGAGTTATTCTTGTGAGCGCTGCTGATAGTTACTGCTGCTGTCATTTTATTTTAGATCTATACATGTATAAAAAATTAAAGGGTAGGTCTTGTCACAGATAGCAGGTTTGCAGCTTTTATAAGCTTTTTTTCCCCCTTTTATATGTCTGCAAATAAAACATGCAGGAAAAAATACATGGATGTTTTCATACAGAGTATAACTGCTAAAACTAAATCAGTTGAGTGTCCCTTTAAAATAAGTGTGATTTGGAGCTGGGTAGTGTTATATTACCTTGGGGTTAAGGGCCTAATAGTTATAGAGGAACTGGCTCAACCAAATGGAGGGAATTTGTTTGTGAATAGCTGAGCAATGTTATATGGAGACAGAAAAATTAAATACAGCCAAATAAAAATACAAATTTGGTGTCAAATAAACCTTCTAAAGACAGATTGAAATAGTTAAAACCTCAAAATGTGACAACCCAACATGTGGCTTCTGTTCACCATTTAGAGAATAGAGCGGAGTGTGTAACCGGAACCAGAAGGTTGATGGACGTACCTGTCAACACACAGGGCACCATAAATCCCAAATAATCTGCTAGTCGGCAGCCAGGGGCTTTAAAATCATGGAATTGGCTGATAGAAATGGGAAGATTCCAAACATTGATACGGGATGACTGACACCACTCCTACGGCAGAACGAATGCAGGAATTGTGGAGCGCTGGTAGGGTTAATGCTAATCTTAGGCCATAAAAGCACAGTTGGATAATTAGTTGTCCCCACATTTGGCTTAATAGGTATTATTCGCTCGGTTTAGTGAATATCCCCCAGGATTACACGTACCTTATAGCTGATTCCCATCTCTCCACAAAGCTTAAACATCTATGAGATAAAGCAGCTACAGATTTCCTTTAAGCCTTAAATAAATACTGTAGCTGCTTCATCTGATAGCAGTGGTTATAGTATCTGGAATCCCCAAGCACCAACCTTCTTTTCAGCATTAAACAGTTTTTACCCTAAATGAGAGTCCCCAGCAGCCCATCTCCTCTCTGCTTCTTGGACTAATGAGGATCTATTTAAGGAATACTGTAGCGTTAGGAATACAGAGCTACAGTCTTGGTGCTTCTTATCACTCTCCCCCATCCCCTCTGTACAATAATAAAACAAAAAATGAAATAAACTAATTACTCACCTTTTCTCCAGCATAAAGTCTCTTTTGTCACTACCTCCACCTCAGGCTGCGTCATCCATGATGACGAGCCAATCCAATGCTTCTCATAGAGGCAATGGCGGAACATGGGTACATTGCACTGCGCCCCGATTCCTCCATAGAGAATCACTAAATACATTTCTTCTAATAGAGGCAACGGGGGAACATGGGTACATTGCACTGCGCCCCGATTCCTCCATAGAGAATCACTAAATACATTTCTTCTAATAGAGGCAACGGGGGAACATGGGTACATTGCACTGCGCCCCGATTCCTCCATAGAGAATCACTAAATACAATGCTTCTAATAGAGGCAGCGGGGGAACATGGGTACATTGCACTGCGCCCCGATTCCTCCATAGAGAATCACTAAATACATTTCTTCTAATAGAGGCAACGGGGGAACATGGGTACATTGCACTGCGCCCCGATTCCTCCATAGAGAATCACTAAATACATTTCTTCTAATAGAGGCAACGGGGGAACATGGGTACATTGCACTGCACCCCGATTCCTCCATAGAGAATCACTAAATGCAATGATTCTCTATGGCTGGCTGTGACAGGACTGCTCATGTGCTCGTGACGTCAAAGTGAATTTCAAATGTAAGGTTAAAACAGGTAAACTGAACACAGAATTGACTTGGAGAAACAGGCAAACTGCGACCGAATCAAGATCCCCAATACAAGCACTGCTCTAGGGTGAGGTCTGACACACCTTCAATACAGTAACAGGTTACACTATACAGTAAATCATTCAGTGAGATAAGCAATGGTTTAGTTACTAATACCAACAGATCTGTACTCTGGGTGCAGTCTGCAATGATACGATATATGTAGGTGATAGTAATTTGCATTGTATGTTGGTTTTATTCTTCTTAAAGGGACACTAGTCACCAGTGCAACTACATGTATTCCTGACCCTATAGTGTTAACACCACCATCTAGCCCCCCTGGGCCCCTCATGCTTCCATAGATATAGTAAAAATCTTACTGTATTCAAGCCAGAAGCTGTAACTCTCCATGCTGTTTGCCTTAAAAAAAAAAAAAAGTCTGCTGACGTCATCAGAAGTTGTAGCCTGATCCTATCACAATGCTTCCCCATAGGATTGGCTGAGACTGACAAAGAGGTAGATCAGGGGCAGAGCCAGCATGATTCAAGCACAGCCCTGGCCAATCAGCATCTCCTCATAGAGATTAATTGAATCAATGGATCTCTATGAGGAAAGTTCAGTGTCTGCATGCAGAGGGAGGAGATATTGAATCACAGGATGCTCGTGCACAGCAGATCTGAGTGGATGGAGGCATATTATGACTGCAACTGGAGGTGTTCCTAGCTTTCAATGTAAACACTGTATTTTCTCAGAAAATACAGTGTTTACATGAGAAAGGCTGCAGGGAGCTATAGTTCGCACTTGAACAACCTCATTAAGCTGAAGTTGTTCAGGTGACTATAGTGTCCCTTTAAAGGAACACTCCACTTTCCATAGCCACTTATCTTATTGTATTTTTTACAGCTCATTTTATTGGTTCTGGTGTAAGGAGATATGGGTGAAATACCCTATTTTCTCATACTGTTTTTATGATTTACAGGATTATTCGCTCAAGTGAGAATTGTTGGAAAATCAAAGAGTTTCAAATTCAAAGCCAAAATGGGCAGACTGGAAGCACAGCTGTCTTCAAGATTTTTTTCCAGTTCGGCTATTTTGAACTTAGTTTAAATTCTCACTTTAGTGAGTTACCCGGTTATTATTCTGCACCCAGAATCCCCCTTCCCTCCCCAAACTTGAGACCAGATTGAGGACGTTTTACTCTGTCATTACCTCTGCAGATGTTTATAGGACCTGCACTCATACTGTGCTAGCACCATTACCACTGCTGTGTAATAGGTTGTAGTGGCAATGTTACAATTTCAATTGGAAGAGGGGAGAGCAATATTTTAATTATGCTCCCAGCCAACACAAGAATTATGCATGTAAGCCAACCCACACTTACAAAACAAATCTGAGCAACTGCAGCTAGTGTGCGCCAAGTGACAGACCTTGGGAATATTACTGCAGGGTGACAAGAGTATAATTAAATACTCTTTAAAAAAAATAATTGTATTTCCTTTTGCAGTTAGTTTCAATGTATTTCCTTTTCTGATCATAGCAAGCATGTCTAAATGTAATCTGTATTGACAAAACATAGCAGATATAATTCTCCAACAGAGTTCTTGTTTACTTTTATTGGAGGGGTGCCACACTGGGAAGTTCCTTGCCAGCTGGTTAAACATGGATCTCACCATTTGGCATTGAACTTTGCCAGGGCTGTGTTCTAGGGGATCACATGCAGAGTCCAGAGAGATACAATCCAGTCAATGTTAGTGAATGGTGCCACTGTAATTTATCTCATTTTCAGCCAACAGTTAAATTACGGAGATTAAACTTTCGTTAACCAGGACACACCAAAAGATTTAGAATGTTCTTAGACCATATCTGAGAAGATATTAGAAGATATGGGCCTATATGGGAGTAAGCAGGTAATGGAGATGATCCATTGTCACTATTCAGAATCCCAGTGCTACAGCCAGAAAAACAAATGAGAATATTCTTATGGATTGAACAAAGCACAGAGTCCCACTTTTTCTGAGGCATGGCGATCAGAGTCTGTAACACAGTAACACCAAGTATAATTCTCAAAAATCATAAGGATGCACGATTAGCATGTAATATCATGTCATCAGTCCCGCTCTGTCTGGTGGATGCAAAGCACAGATTTATTGGGGATCCCACACTGTTGGAGGGTGCAACTCAGGTCAGCGAACCTTCTCCTGGGCACTTCCATGGACTCCACACTGCAGTTCCTGCAAGACATACCCGTCTTCGTCTCAGCCACTGCCAGCACAACATACATAGTGTCTGTGGGCCGGAAGTATCGTTCAAACCTCTGGCCGGTATGGGATCTGATGGCCAGCAGAAGCCTAGGCTCGTGCTCAGAGGGCTCTAGCAGGTTCACAGGAAATGGCGAGATCCCCTGCCTCTTCATAGTAAATGGTGAGACCCCCTGCGCATTCACAGGAATTGGTGAAATATCCTCTCTAGTCTGAGGCTTCTGGCTAGGGCCTGTCTCTGCCACCCTGCCTGCAGAGTGCTCCTGTAAAGATTTGGCATGCCTCTCATGGTGTTCACTTGCAAGGTGCATGGAGCTGATATCTCTGGCCATTTGTTCTTCCTCAGCATTTTCTTGATTCCTCACTGCACCGATGGATGGGAGAACTCTGTACCGGTTCAAGGAAGACGAGGGAGGCCTGGATAAAACTTGATGCACGAGCTCAGGAACCTCTTCCTGCAGTATCCTGGGACTGGTGGGAACCCGGGCTGAGGGTACCCGAGGAGCAGGTGGTGAGGTACTGTAGGTATACTCTTCAGCATTGGTTGAGAAGCCCTGTGGGGCGGTCCTGGTGCGACCTTTGGCAGATTTGGGTCTTGTAACATGCATTCTATGGAGAGGGTCTCCAGTTCTGGGAACAGTAACACCCGCTGGAGCTGAGGCCATTTCCCTTTTACACAACCTGCAAAGAGTTAAAACAATTTAGATCATAAGCTCTATAGAAGTCTGCATACCAAACTTTGGGTTTTCATTGGGTGCACTTACTGCATTATTTTTCCAATAAATTTCAGTGTGATTACAGCGCTGCTTAGAACGACGCAGCAATGCAGTTAGTTAGGGTTTGTTATACGTTTAGGTTACAGGGAAAGTGCCTTCAAGGTGCCGACATATAAAGTCTGTGGCATTTTGAGGGTAGGTACCATGTCATTTCTAGATTTAAGTGCGGTGTAAGTAACAAAGACCTACACCTATAAGTGGAGCGCTCAAACACATATAGCTTACCAAACGTTATTTCGTACAATGGTACAGTAAAAAGTACATGTGAAGAAAAATACAGAAAAGTACAATATAGTGCAGATGGTATTTAAAGTGGCAATGCAATAGTAATAATGAGATTGTAATGAATTGTGCACTCACATTTCAAGGAGCCTGTATATAGAAACACTGGCTCCATTATTAGGAAACAATATTACTTATTGTGGTAGCACCACCCTTCTACTTCGATTTGGGTGATTCTCAAGGAACAAAACAGAGGGAGGAAGCGAACCAATATGTAGATTGGTCATAAAAGCATACATATATGTTAATAAATGTGGTGCTCACCTGGTCCTAGACCTATGGGTCCTGGCTCTAGGTGTATAAAACTCTGTGCCAGTTTGAATGGGGATGGCACTACCCTATGAAGATTCTCTGGAGGCTCCAAAAGGACTTGAGTAGGGTATTAAATAAAACCGTTGTTAGTATATAATATATATAAAAACAAATGGTGTAAAAGTCTTCAATAAAAGTCCTTTAAAAAAAATTGGCCATTTTAAAGGACTTTTTATTCGGAGTTTACACCATTGTTATATATATTATACTAATAAACTTATTGGCTATTTAATACCCTACTCAGAATCACCCCTGGAAACCTCTATCTCTTTCACATTAAGATTATTTCTCTCTCCATGTAACCCCATTAAGGTCCCCCCATGTAACCCACATTAAGACTCCCCTGTAACCCCACATTAAAATTCCACCCCCCCCATGTAACCCACATTAGGTCCCCCCCATGTAACCCACATTAGTCCCCCCATGTAACCCCATTAAGGTCCCCCCATGTAACCCCACATTAGGTCCCCATGTAACCCCACATTAGGTTCCCCCATGTAACCCATTAAGGTTCCCCCCATGTAACCCCACATTAGGTCACCCCCATGTAACCCCACATTAAGGTCCACCCCCCATGTAACCCATTAGGTCACCCCCCATGTAACCCCATTAGGTCTTCCCCCCCCATGCTTAACCCCACATTAAGGTCTTCCCCATGTAACCCCACATTGGGTCTTCCCCCATGTAACCCCATTAAGGTCACCCCCCATGTAACCCCATTGGGTCTTCCCCCATGTAACCCACATTAAGGTCACCCCCATGTAACCCCACATTAAGATCCGCCCCATGTAACCCCACGACAAGGTCACCCCCCATGTAACCCCACACATTAAGGTCACCCCCATGTAACCCCATTAGGTCACCCCCATGCCAACCCACATTAAGGTCACCCCCATGTAACCCCACATTAGATCCACCCCCCATGTAACTTGTCAGGTCCTTGCCCCCATGCCAACCCACATTAGGTCTTCCCCCCCATGTAACCCACATTAGGTCACCCCATGCTTAGGGATAAGATCACCCCATGTAACCCCACATTAGGTCCTTGTGTAACCCCACATTAGGTCACCCCCATGTGTAACCCCACATTAGGTCACCCCCATGTAACCCACATTAAGGTCACCCCCCCATGTAACCCCACATTAGGGTCACCCCCCATGTAACCCCACATTAAGATCACCCCCATGCCAACCCCATTAAGGTCCACCCCCTTCCATGGGAATTAAAGCTCTGAAAGTGGAGCAATCAGCAGGACAGAGCAGTGGTTTCCATGGTAACAGCTCCACTGGCATTGCCCCCATTAATTACCCCCAGTGACCCCACTGCTGCCCCCTCCCCCTCCCTGTTACCTCTCCTGCAGCCGCCATCAGCCTCCAAACCTCCAGCCAGTAAACAACCGCCCGTTACCCGGAGCAACCGCCGCGCAGGACGCTGGGCATTGACGTCATCACGCCAGGGAGCGCACGGCGTGTGTGTGAGACGTGTCGCCGCTGCGGATGCGGCAGCCATGTTATTGGTGGGCTGTGAGCTTGGCTCCCTGGTGAGCTGCATGGGAAGACAAGGACTAGGGGTGGCAGAAACGTTGGCCAGTTACTGGGAGTCAAAACTTCCTACAAAGGAAAAAATATAATAAATATCATCTGCTAATGATAGAAATCCATAGATCTTAGGGTTTCCTGATCACTATTGGGGAAAGTGTGAATCGTGCGAGCGCAGACTGGCGTAAAACACAAAGTGTGAATCGTGCGAGCCCAGAATAAAACACAAAGTGTGAATCGTGCAAGCGCAGACTGGCGTAAAACACGAAGTGTGAATCGTGCAAACACAGACTGGTGTAAAACACAAAGTGTGAATCGTGCAAGCGCAGACTGGCATAAAACACAACGTGTGAATCGTGCCAGCGCAGACTGGCGTAAAACAAAAAGTGTGAATCCTGCAAACACAGACTGGCGTAAAACACAAAGTGTGAATCGTGCGAGCACAGACTGGCGTAAAACACAAAGTGTGAATCGTGCGAGCACAGAATAAAACAGGAAAGTGTGAAAAGTGCGAATACAGACTGGTATAAAACACGAAATTGTGAATCGCACGAGCACATACTGGTGTAAAACACGAGCGTGTGAATCGTGCAAGCCCAGACTGTAGAAAAACACGAACGTGTGAATCATGAATCGAAAGTGTACAGGCTGTTTTTTTGTTAACTACGTTCCTGCCATACGTATAATGTAATATTAATGTTAAATAATGGTGACACTATCGCAACGCAAGCTGAATCCGGTGCATATAAATAAAGAGTGTGCGCCATTTTAATCCAAACCAATTAATATTTTATTGTATTGTCATGTGACATATTTGGAAGCAGTTTTTTATGCATATATTGGATCAGCGAGAATTTATTTAACTCTGAGGTAAATATACTACGGCCTCAATTTAATAATGTTGGATAAGCTCTCCAAATTATTTAAAATTTTTAGATAAACTTTTAAAATTAATATTTAACATAAAATTTGTAAAAAAAAAATATATATATCTCTCTCATTTATTAAACAACATATCTATATACAAAAATACAAAATGTAAATATTTTTTTTAATATTAAATCATTTTAAAAGTTTATCCATCCAGTATGGAGGTTTTGCAACTCACAGAACTATCTCCAAAACAAAACGTTCAGAAACATTTCGAGGGCTGCCATTATGTCGTCCATCTTTAGATATCGCAGTGAGGTAAGTGAGGCATTGGGGGGGCAGCCTACAGATCAGATAAGTGAGGGATAGGGGGAAGGAATTAAAGTAGAAGGAGCAGAAATGAGCACAAAGGTTCTGCAAGGGGCAGAAGGGGTTAGCAAGGAATAGAAATCGGCAACAAGAAGCAGGAAGGGGTAGGAAAGGTTTGCAAGGAGCAGGAGGGTAAAGTAGAAGGAGCAGAAATTAGCAGGCAAGGGGCAGGAGGAGTCAACAAGGAGTAGGAAGGGTCTGCAAGGGGCAGGAGGAGTCAACAAGGAGTAGGAAGGGTCTGCAAGGGGCAGGAGGGGTCAACAAGGAGCAGGAAGGGTCTGCAAGGGGCAGGAGGGGTCAACAAGGAGTAGGAAGGGTCTGCAAGGGGCAGGAGAGGTTAGCAAAGAGTAGGAAGGGGTAGGAAGGGTCTGCAAGAGGCAGGAGGGGTCAGCAAGGAGTAAAGCGTCTGCAAGGGGCAGGAGGGGTCATCAAGGAGCAGGAAGGGTCTGCAAGGGGCAGGAGGGGTCATCAAGGAGTAGG